CTGCCGAATACTTTCAGCAGGCTTAGAGATCCATTATTTTTACAGCCTGCATGGATTGTGTGCTGCAGATAAATAGAAGGCACCCTAAGGACTTTGCTCTCAAAGTGATGGCACAAAGTATTGCCAGACCCCTGCATTTTCTCACAAACACTGTCAAATTTAGTGCTTTCTTTCCACATGCAGTTCTTGAAATATTTTAATGAGAATTCAGCTTTTGTTTAAAAAAATGAGTTTCAACCCCCACATTTGCATTGAAAAACACCAAATCCTGACCCCAAATGCACTCCCAGTAGTTCGAAAGCCAGAGGCATGCTACAAGCATCGGCTTTTCCAGCAATGTCCCATGCCCTGATGCCTGCCAGTCCTGCAGTTCCAGAACACACACATCTGCAGGGGGTGCATGCCCACGGGCAGCGCCTACACTGCACAACAGACTGCTCTGAGGAGTGCCTCCCAGGGCCAGATCTCAGCACCTGAACTACAAGCACAAACAAAGCCATGTATTTTCAGAGGAAGGACTGGAGGACGGGCTCTTCTGCATTCTCTTCAGTAAAAGATCTGGAGGAGGAGTTGCTTCCTGAGTTCAGTGGAGATGGAGCAGGGATGACGGTAGGGGGACTGAGCTGCTACCAAGCTACTGGCAAGCTTTAGTTCCTTCTGTGCGGCACTGCAGCAGCAGCCTGTAGTGCAGTGCCCAGAAATCAGCATCCAACACAGAAGGGATGCCCTCCAGACGCTTGGAGGAATATTACCTAAAATCACGGGGCATCGTGAAACCCTAGCACTAATGCTATCCACCAAGGAGCAATTCCTTTCAGTGGTTTGGAGAACCCAGCACTATCCCCCCCAGCACGCCGAGCAGCAGCGCGTACAGTTCACGACCGTGCTACAATGGTGGTTTTGTTTCCATCAGTTCTGCGCTGGGCTCGGTGTCACCAGCAAGCGTCCTCGGTCACAGCCCTCCTGGGCTGTGAATGCCACTCACAAAGCACAGGCTGAGCTGCCAGCTTGGGCAGAGCTCCCCAGCAGCAGGTTGCAGCACTGCATACAAAGTGCATCTGGGAAAAGACTGCTCAATATTTTTTTTAAAGCATGAATTCCTACATTATGGGACCTTTTTGTTCTCCTTTTTCTTCTGCATCCTATTACCTCTTCATAGTCAGCCGCAGCACTATGCGTTCTTTCCTATACACAGCGTCTCAGTTAGTCAGCTCTTGTATCTGCGTTGTTGCCTTTTCTTCTTTCCTTTCACAATATCTCTTTAAGGGATGTTATTCCATAAGAACATCAGTTTTTGTTTAAGAGAGATATTCTTAACCCTCTTGGGTGTTTTAGAAAAATCTTAATTTGAAACATAAAGCCTTGAAAAAAAAAAAAAAAGAAAAATACAAGATTTGGGAGCGAAGTGAAATAGCCTGAAATAGAACATAGCAGTACTACAGAACCCAGTGCTGGACTGAAGATAGCTCCTGCCCTGCCAAAAACCGAGATATGTTTAAGGTTAGGAACTTGTGTAAGGCCTGCCATGGCATCACATGGAGCTGGAGCCTGGGGGAGCAGGCTTGTGCTGGCACATGGAGATGAAGGCCTAGGGTGTGCAGCAACACAAGTGTGTATCCATCTCCTTTGCCCAAGGAGTTGTGCTCTGTGTGAACACATCAGCTCCATTGAAGGCTCCATCTGGAGGTGGAGGACATTGTCCACGTAGAAAGCTCTTAATTCAGCCTCTGGAACTGAGCTGGTGGTTCCTGCAGTAGCTTAGCTCCTCTTTGTTGGGGTTGATCACAAGGCAGTGTGATTTCCAACAGGAATTTTTATATGCTTTTTTAAGATCGAGAGAACCATGGAATGAATACATGTAATTTAAGTATTAGTTTCCTCTAGGTGTGAATAGGTAGTTTTGTTGCAAGAAACTAATAAACTGAAACAAATTATCCCCAACCCCACAAGCACAGCAATGCAACTCCTGCGCTGCACAGCCAGTTTCATTCCTGCCGTGGAGTTACTCCCCAAATTCTCTTCAATTCTTGCTGAACAAATTTTGCTTAGAAATACCTCTTTTGGATAAAGCATTTGTCTTACTATTAAATCTTCCATCCTACTACACGAAACCTCCTCAAAATTCTGCTTCTCATCAGGCAGTTCCTGACACTTCCTTGAGCATTTCCCCATCTCTGCCATATCTATTTTTAAACACATCCTACACTGAGCAAAGTGAAGGTGCTTCCCAGGCACATTGCCACAGCCATGACACATTTCCATACAAACATTTTTGTTGTCAGAAGGGTGTAGCACTTCCACTCCTGCTGATATGACTTTCACACATGTTGCATGAGCAAAATAGGAAATCCATAAGGAGTTTAGAACTGAGTTTTGCCTTATACTCATTCAAGAAGTAAGTTAGACTTTAAAAACAACAAACTACTTAATTCAACCAAAAGACATCTGTGAATGTTTGCATGAAAGAGCCTCCAGAAGCCTACCAGCTCCTTCTCATCCTGCTCCTGCAGTAGCTACACCAGAAGGAATTAACCTCGAATAGGTCACATTTGGCAACTTGCAGCATAGCATAGCACTGCACAAGGAGGGCTGCACTGGCAGCCCCAGCGTGGCAGGAGGGCAGCGCTTGAGGCCATGCTGTGCCACACACTGCTCCTCCCCACAGCCACCTGAGGCCGGGCAGCAGCTCTCTGTCACCCTGTGCTCACAGTGCTGAGTGATGCCCACTCCTTGAGATGGAAACATAAAGCACACACAGAATCGGGGCTTTCTCTTTTCTACACGAAGTGACACAAGGGCAAGGTGACAAATTACATGTGGATGTGGCAGCTCTTGCATGGAGCTAGCTGAAGGGCAGGCACTCGCATCTGCTGATGGCTGCTGAGCAGCAAAGCAAAGCCAAAGTATGCATGGGCTCTGGCAGCAGGACTGACATGGAGGCCCAGCTGGAGTTGTTCAGCCTTCATACAGCTTCTGTGAGCTCAACACCAAGGCTGCTAGAGCAGCACGTTGTCCTGTTCCAAGGAGGGAGTTAAAGCTTACCAGCCCTACAGTGCTACTGTGCTTTACAGGCAGGGCTCCCTCCCCCTGTTATTTACACAGAAGTTAAATTTGGACATCCTCTTACTCGGCCATGAGAGCAGCTTGCTGCAAGAGGAAGCAGCCGACCTGGCCTCTCACCTTTCCTTCTGCCTTGTTCCCAGCCCGCCACATCCTCCTGCCTTCCTCCCACTGCTGTCCTTGCTCTCTGGAGGGGAAGGCAGGAAGAACATAGGCAGGAAGAGCTGGGTGTTGCATTTCCCTCATACATCTCCCTGCTCCTTCCCGGGCTGTCCTATCTGCCCCCATCTCTCTGTACACAACCCGTGGCACAAAGGGGCAGACCTGCATCTCACCCCCCCCCTGGAGCACAGTGGGATTCACTTGGCTGTGTAAATCAAAGTTTGGTAACATTTCGTGTATTTCTTCAAGTGGTAACTGCAACTATCAGCTTTCATCTAAAGAGAAGGTGATTGTGGTCTTCCTCTGTCCACAAAAGGACTCTTTTATGAGTCCTCAAAGCTTAATGATTAAAATGAAAAGTTGAGAAGTTTGGTCAGCATCACTTTTTAAAGTGATTTTGCAACTTGTAGAGTGTCTGCACTAGTTTCTTTAATCTGCACCACTGTTTCCTTATTGCTGTGCTGGGACAATGCTCCTTCCAGCTGCCTGGGAGCATTTTGTAACTGCATTCAATTACAACATTGAAAAGAGAAGCACAAGAAGCAGTGCCCTTCCACAGGCTGACACCTCAGCTGATAGGAAAGGCACAGGAAGTGTCCAGCAGCATCATCCCAAGAATATATCTTAGGTGATTTGTACATTACTGCAGTTGGATTCTCTGGTGCACAGTTTCAGGGCTACACTGACACTTTAATACCCAAGGAATGGTTTACCTGTGGTGAAACCCTCACACAACAGCAGCTCTTTGCCCCTGGAAGCCTGAAGCCCTCTGGGTTCTCCAGGAGGACTGTGGTGGCTGCAGAGCTCCCAGCAGCTGCACCCCCCTCCCACTCTTTCCAGGAAGCAGCCATCTGCTTATCAGTGGCAGGAGATGTCTATTTTCTACCCTAATTTCATTTCAAACCACAGATAGAGTGTCTGCCTCAGCACACTGTCCAAACCCACGGCTACATACAAGCACAACGAGCTAGGAGAGCTGCACTCTCTGAAACTGCTTGCAGAAATGCAAGGAGAAAACTGAAGCCAAACACAGCAAAATTTGGAATAGCTGGGTGCACTTATGGAATGCACTATCCACCGCGAGCCGAGAACCACTTGTAAAGCAGAGAGGAGGAAGCAAACTTAGCAGGCTCCAGCCAGAACTCCCTCAGCTCACAACTGACCGCACAGAACTAGAAGGACAGAGCCCACATTGTCCCATGTTGCTGTCACACCACCAGATCCCCTGAAAATCTGAGGGCAATGTCAATACAGCATGTGTGCTGCAAATACAAAATGTCAATAGATTTGTAATGTTTCCAGACTTCTAAGTGACTTTTCCAAGCACAATCTTCAATCTTGGCCCCTAAATTATGGATAACCCAACTTTTTTTTTTTTTTTTTTTTAATTACATCTCTGAACTCTCATCTTTAACTCTCATCTTAAAATCTTTATCACAGACATGCTTTAACTCCTTTCAATCAAACAATTGGTCATGAGAAGTGACAGCAGACAGCTTTTCAAGCAGCCCAAACTCATACCACAAAACCACAAGTTCTAAACACAGATGTTCAACAGATCCTTGAAGTGCTTCACCAGATCCGAGTGCTCAACCTGCTTGATTTCCAATCAGTGGTGACTTTTTCCCTGGGGCTTAATCAGATAAAACACAAGCAAGCAAAACCTGGTGAGGAGGGGCTGGCACAGGGCAGGGGCACAGGCTGGATTTGTTTGCTTTTAAAAAGTAAAGTTAATTTCTCATTCACTTATCTCACTGCAAATTTTCTGTCTCTTTCAGGTAACATCATTGGTTCTGGGATCTTTATATCACCGAAAGGAGTTTTGGAGCACACTGGCTCGGTGGGACTGGCTCTCATTATTTGGGTGCTCGGCGGCGGGGTTGCTGCCCTGGGTTCTCTGTGTTATGCTGAGCTGGGAGTAACCATCCCCAAATCAGGAGGGGACTATTCCTACGTCACAGAGATCTTTGGTGGGTTAGCTGGGTAAGTACACATGTCCTCAGAGTCATTGGAATACATGCTTACATTCAGTACTTAGTGAGGAAAAGATAGCCGACTTAGAAGAAACAGAATATTCATAAATAATCTGCTTTTGCAAAGTCACCCCTTCTGTTCTCACTCAAAATACTAAATTGCCCCTTTGCAGCACTCCCAGTTCTGCCTTCAGACTGCAGGATGCTTTCACTTTCCTCTCCACTCAGTAAAAATCAGTGGCACGTCCACATGACATTCATGCGTGCAAGCAGTATGGCAGCACAGAGTACTTGAGGGATGCCAGTCTGGAGCTGCTCCCCATAACCCAAAGCCCTCCATTAATTATTGGTGCAGAAGGCAGAAAATATTTCTATGGCATTATGCTGCAAGACCTTCCTGCAGCAGAATACAGAAAGTTGCTTGGGGAAGAAGTCTGCCCACAGAAGCATCCCAGGCACAGGTGCCAGTTTCCTCAGCTGCAGCTGTACAAAGCAACCAGCCATGTACATGCAATGGAGGGATGCAGAAGAGAAATCAGGAAATGGCTTCTCTTCAAATATCCAGCTCAGAGTAGCTAAGGGAAGAAGGGAGAAGTGAGGTCATCTTTTATATTTTACTGTGTGTTTCATTGTATATTCAACAACCAAATTCAATTCCCCACCTGTACCCACAGCTTGGCAGAGGAGCACCAAAACCTTGTTTCCAGTTCATTAATTTGCGAGCAAAGAGTCCATGCAGTGTGTAGGTGCCTTGTTTACAAAAAAATAAATACAATAACTGCATCTGAAATGGTTCTGTAGAAGGGATGCAGCTGCAGCACCTGCTTCTGGGGCAGGATGGCAGCTCGGGGGCAACATGTCCCTTGTGTAACAGGAAAGTCCAGGAACACCTTTGGGAGAACAGAATGAAGACCCAGAGGCAATGAGAAAGAGTCAAAACACAGCGGGGCTGCCCTCTGGGGTTATGGTCAGCCTTCCAAAGGGACCGTCCAGGGATGAGACAAGACAAGGGAGGACTATTCTCACAGCAGGCCTCGGCTGCTGCCAGGCTTTCTGCTTTTAGTTTCTGTTAGAAGTCATCTTGTTCCTAAATAGCACTTGTACATGAGCAAATGAGGAGCAGGGAACCCTCCACATGCTGTGCTGCTGCTGGAGCAGCGTGACTGAGCACAGTTCATTTACACACATATATTTACAGGTTTTTACAAGTCATAAAAATAACTCCACCCAAAGTAGTAAATAAGCTTAATACATATCTCAGCAGAAGAAAACCAATACATCAAGCTACATGGAAAACCCACTGGTGTATTTCTGATAAATACAACCAGTATAGCTTTTACGAGTGCTGCTTGATAACTGAATATATGTCCTTACTTATAGTCCTTACTATCAAATCACTATGTGTTGAAGTCAGCATAGAACTCTACCCCAAAGCTTTGATAAATATTGATTCAAACTGCAAGTAAAACTTCCTGTATTTCTTTCACTGTTGCCAAAATCTAAAGTTTCCAAGCAACTTAGGATAATATTAATAATGATCAAACTACCTCAAGCTCTCATAAGCCTACTCAACTTCTCCTGTGATCAGATGGTATGAATAACAGTTTCCATTTCAAACTGTTTTTCTTTTTTAATGACACCCAAGTACAGTACACTTTGGCTTCATTTTCATTGGCTGCTCTGATTCCATGTTTTATATTTAATGTGACATCATTTGGGGAGCACAAGCACATCCCAAATATGTATTTGAAAGGCTGGTTAAACAGGACTCTGTTGGAAATCCAGATCAACCTATACTGCCTTTCCACAAGTAAGACAGTTAGAATGCAGAAATGTCTGCATAAAATCCAGGTTTTGTTGCAGGAGTGGTTTGCACTTGCATGTGAACGCCACATCTTCCTAAAAGCAGAAAATCCCACAACAGATTGTCCATTATTCCAGAGTGTTAGTAAAATGAGGGAAAAAAAATCTAGAAACATTGTGTCATACACATCCAAACTGATGGGAGGACAATTATTAAGTTCAGTAGTCACTGCTCAGACTGAAGGCGCAGCACAGCAGAGTCCCTCAGATTGCACAGCAGCTCACAGCAGAGCAGGACTGGCTTGGAGATGCAAGGCAGGAGCTGCTCACCAGCCAGCGGCTGCACACAGCAGCTCGGATTTCCCATGCAAACTGAAGCACTCCAACTTCCTGAGCACCAACAGTAGAATCATAAGAACAGCTACATCTGCCTTTTCCTGTACATTCAGCTCTTGGGCCTTTTTCTAAAGACCTGGCAGTTCATCAGACAGCAGGGAGAGAAGACAGAATTTCTCAGCTTCTCAGAGTTCAGTAAATGAGTAATTGGTAAAGCTCATCAGAAAGGGTTCAGCCCCCACACCTGCAAGTGTGAGAACACAGTCCTGGGAAGCAGTAATTCCACCTTCTCCATTTGAACATCCTGGCCAGGTCACCCTGCAGGTGCCATAGCATTTCCTGGCCCGAAATGGGCTTTGTGCTCCCAGCCCTCTGCGTGCCCTCGGGGATTGCCCTGACAGAAGCACAGCTTGCAAGCCAGCTCCTCAGGCTGGGTGCACTTTGCTGGTGAGGGCATCCAGCAGTTAGGGCTGAGAACTCCTGCAGACAAAACTGTGGTATTTCATTACAGCAGGTCTGAAAGAGATGTTTTTTGCTGGGGATATCCTGTTCTTAATTCTTCCTGTGCAATAATCAACTAAAAGGTGGTACTTGAAAAGCAGCAGTTACTTAGTAGGCCCAGAGGGTCAGGACCCGTTCCTGCCCATCAGCCATAGCACACAGCATGTCCTGCCACACAGCACAAGGGCAGACATCCCCAGACAGACAGACATGCCATGCCAGCAGGCACCTGGGTGAGCCATAAAAACAAGGCAAGGGCACAGCAGTGCTGCCCCAGCACTAATGTGATCTGAGCAACCAGCAACAATAGCTCTTTCTCAGAATTAGGCTTTGTGCAAGATGTACCTAAAAATAAGACAACATGGAGCCTACACGCTACCTAACTAACAGGCTTCCTTTTATTTTAATACTATTTCTTCTCAGCCCCCTGTTTGACAGCGTGACTTTGTGACCCTCTGCTAAAGTTCTGCGTTTAGTTTAATTGGTGTTACCAGCCCTGCATGTATTTCAATTCAGCATGAAACAAATTGACTGTCAGAAATCTGTTGAATTATTCACAATCCCATTAAACCATATTCTAGCAGCTACCAACTTTAATGCACTTTATATTGCAACATAGAAGCAAGTGCCAATTTCGCCTGAAATACTGTTTTCAGAGTCATTCTTCCCACTGAATATTTTTAATTGGATTCATTTCTCTGGTCTGCACAAAGCACATGGAAGAAGACAGAAGTTGAGGAACCAGGGGGTTCTGCCCAGAAAACCCATCACCTGTGTGGACGTGGCTCTGCCCAGCCAGCTGCAGGCAGTGCCCCAGGGGAACACACAGCTGGGCTTCGTTGCAAGGCAATCATACTGACCTCACACTCACCCAGCACCCCCAGAACGATTGCACAAATGACCATATTGGCCTTTAAGACTTATTGAGTCTACAGTGAAGTAACACAGCAGGTCCCTGGGTTGTCCCCAATGTCCAGCTGGGCGAGCAGGATCTGTGGAGCAGCCCAGACCAGAAACATCACCTTCAGCATAGCATGGCCAAGCCAGTTACTAGAGAAAACCACTCTGAGCCATGACAGAAAGCATTAAGAACAAAAAAGGAGTCTCACGCACACACACTGGGTTTTAACAAACAGTAGTGATATTTGGGGAACGTTTGCATCATGGCAATATTTAGTGAATTAACTCCCTGTAGTTAATAAGAAAAGGAAAGCATCAGATTGCCCCATACTTCTCAGAAACAACAAGGCAAGGCAAAGGAGGTATTGAGAAGCACTCACCACCATGGCCAAGGAGCACCAAGAGCAGTGCTAGCATCCAGGGCAGCTGCACCAGGGAGGACATCCCAGCCCTGCTGAATTTAAGAGGCTGGCAGCAGGCAGGCAGGCATGCTGGGAGCGAGCAGCCCACTTAAGGGAGCACGCAGCATAATCCAGAAATTACGCTGTTTTATTTGGAAATGTCATTTCTGACACTGGCTAAAGCAAAGAGTACACCCAGTGTTTGTAATCCTTACTCTTTGATACGTTTCTAAACTGCATTTCACTTAGAAATGTTTAAATTGAAATCCAGATTGTGCTTGGGAACATGGGAAAAGGGATAAGGAGAAGTAAAAGTGGGTGACTGCTGACTATGAGTGAGATTACAGCAGTCGACCCCAATGTCTTGGACATTTTCCAAAGTGCAGCACAGCTGATTGTGTGTTACTCTCCTCCAGCACACCTAGCCCAGCTTTCTTGTGCTTTTTCTTGTGTTCTCAGGTTTCTGCTGCTCTGGAGTGCAGTGCTTATCATGTACCCTACAAGTCTGGCTGTCATCTCACTGACCTTCTCAAACTATGTCCTGCAGCCCGTGTTCCCTAACTGTATTCCCCCCTATAATGCCTCTAGGATCCTCTCCATGGTGTGTTTACGTGAGTATTTGCTTCTCGTGCACACAGAGCTTGCCTCATTTTGCAAAGGATCACTCAGCAAGGCTGGGCTGATGGCCCCAGAACACAAGAGGCAGGCAGGAGTGTGCCCTGCACACTGGGGTGGCCAGTCCCTCCCTGCCTGCCTGCAGGGAGCACAGCAGGCTGCAGCTCATCCCTGGGCAGCAATGGCAGATGAGCTCACCCACAGTAGGTTTCCCACTGCTGCCTGAAGCCCTCCTCATCTTTTAATTCTCAAATGCAGGCATGTAGGAAGTGCATACCACCACTGGCTTTGCATTCATTACTTACAGAGCTGGTGGGACTGGAGCAGAGCCATGGGGAAAGAAGACATTCTCTGTGTCCCATAAGGAGGCTGAAACCCCAGTTCAGGTAGCAGATTGAGCTCTGAACAGGCACAGCCCTTCAAGCTGGACAAGCCAGGCAGCAGAGCCCCAAGGAGGAGAGCTATGATAGATGCTCCTCTGCAGCTGGGCACCTCATAGGGCAAGGCCAGTCCCCTCTTGTCTTCGATTATGGCCACGCGGGAACTATGCAGCAGTCAATGTTTTATAGTGCTGTGTGTGTTCTTAAATAAACATAATTTCATTTCACTGAATTCAGTCTTTTGCTCTCCAGTACTCCTGACCTGGGTGAACAGCTCCAGCGTTCGATGGGCAACACGCATTCAGGATATATTTACAGCAGGAAAACTCTTAGCCTTGGCCCTTATCATTACTGTGGGCTTCATACAGATCTTTAAAGGTACTCTGTGAGACAGCTCCAACACGGGTATGGTACTGTTGCTACACTTGCTTCTCTTACCCTCCTTACAAAGCAACCCAAAGGGACTGCAGGGCTGTGGAGCAGTCTCTGTGCTGCTGATTGGGCTCTGGTTGCTGCAAGTGCTCTTGGGCTGGAAGGAGCTGGAGAGTGACATCCCACACAGCAGCTGTGTGTCCTGGTGGGAAAGCATTTGTCTTGAGTGCTGCTGAGGTATTTATTCCAGGCACAGATGCAGTGGAGGTTTATCCTCTGTGTGACAGCTGTACATGGAGTCATGAAAATGATGGCACTACAGAGAAATGACCTGTATCTTCCCTAAACATATTCCTTTCTGTCCTGCGTTGTTGGTTTTGATAAAGGAGAAGTGCATCTGAAGGTATTTTAGAGTGATTACAGAAAATTTATGACTCGTTGCATGGTCTTTAAATTTTAAAGTACTTTGAGTGCAAACTGATAAGCAGTGCTGGGCCCCATTCAGGAAGACGCCAAATTCATTTTGGGCACAATCCGGTTTCCTATGTCCTAGAAGTCACTTGTAAGATTGAGAACTACAAAATACCACCTTCTCAAGATGTAAAAATGTCTGACTGAATCACCAACTTAATGGAAAGCAGAGAGCACAAAAGGCTCGTGACATTTTTATCATGTCTATGATGAGTCATGCAAAGAAAGATGAAATAGGGCATTTAGAGAGCAGGACTATTTCTCAGTGATAACAGTTCCACAGTCTTGATAAATCTTCCAGCCCCATAGATATTTTCCCGGTAGTCCTACTAAACAAAACCAAGTTCTTGCAAAAGTAGACAGCATTAGGAACAGACAGGAGTTTGCCCCATCGCAGAGCCGCCCACCAGTAGTGTGTACAGAAAGGCAGGTAGCAGTATGTCGCAGCAGCAGTGCCAGCACTGTGGCAATTAGATGTAGAGCAATGACTGTGTGTGCAGAGCCCACTGCCTCCCCAGGACACCCTGCCACAGAGAGCACCATGACTGCAGTGCCAGCCCGAGCTGACCTGTGGGATATGAAGAGCACAGAGTCTCAAACCCAATCAAGCAATGAAAAAAAGGGAAAAAAACCACCAAAATTTCACCTATTTCCTGGTGTCTTTGGTGGGCAGCACTTCCCTCAGGGGAAGGCGTAAACTCTTGCTTGTGCTTTCTGTGCAGGAAACTATGAAGAGCTGACACCGAGCAAAGCGTTCAATTTTTGGATGACTCCATCCGTGGGGCATTTAGCATTAGCTTTCCTTCAAGGGTCATTTGCATTCAGCGGCTGGAACTTCTTGAACTATGTAACAGAAGAGTTGGTTGATCCCCGCAGGCAAGTATCCCTTTCCACATCATCCACTTTTTTTTTTGAAGTGCTGAGACATTCAAGCCATGCGATAACATAATTCATCTAATAAGCTGCAGCGATATCATGACGTCCTATAGGACCGGTGTGGCTAAAGGAGAGGTTTTTTGTTTGGAATGCAAACAGGCTAGTTAACGAAACACCATGCTGAAATTAGGAACAGACTGTACAAAGTATCAATTCAATCCCAACGACCTATGGACAAAGCAATGTCATTGTGGCCCTGACCAAACATACAGTGCATCCTTAGCAAAAAATCAGCCGATGAGACGCCCCACACATATCTATAGGGAGAATCACTGTCTCTTGTTAGAAAAATGTTGGGTTCTACTGCAAGTCACTTTGCTTTTTCACCCAAAGGGGACATTATACAAAGATCTGAATGAGAAGATGGGAAGGCACCTGACCCACAGGCAGCACTCCCTGCCCTGCACCTGTACCACAGTGCAGCTGCACAACCTACCCCAGGAGTGCCCCGTGTCAGCTCTCTGGGGGCTGTGTGTGTGGGAAAGAGGTTTGAAATGACCTCGCACTGACAGGCGGGGGGAGCCAGAGGGAGAGCAATTCTACTTTAATAAAGCAAAGCTCAAACATTTCAAAATTTCTGAGATGATAAAGAGGAATGGTGGATGCTGAGAGCAGCTCTTGGAGTGTATTTGTGGGCATGCCACGCACACAGCAGTTAAACAAGGAGAAGTTCAACGCTTGCACAGCCTGGCTGGGAGTGAATGAAAGCTGCCGTCTCAAGAGCAGCCCTGTGGAGGCCTTCACACCACTGAGTGGGAAAGCGCACGCCCAGGACCTTGGCAGGAATAGAGAAAGATCAGCAATGTGCTTCCTCCAAAAACAGCAGCACTGTAATGGGTCACCACAATTTCAAGCCTGAACAATGAAAAGTTATGACTTTTATAAGGCAAATATGGCCTCAGTTGAGAAATAAAAAGGAAAGGGAGGGAATAGACTTAAATATTATTATTTTTGCAGCCTTGAAAGGGAAAATAGAATATAAAAAACTGATTTGGTAACAAAAAAAAGAAAAAATCTTCCAATTTTTACTAAATCCAATCAGGATCACAAAGATTAAAGTACTTTTCTTCTGTTTGTTTTTTAACTTTTTCCAAATGTGACACAGAGTCAAAAATGCATTACTGCATTAGATAGAGATTTGTTCAGCTGCCCACCTCTAAAGAGGGCCCTGAACTGGCAACTGAGTAAAATATTCACTCCTGGAAGGTACCACAGCATTGTAGCAGATGAACCTGCGCAGCTGGTTGAGTGCCCCAGGCTGTTATTGTGCTCTCGCTGTGTATGACTGTAAATTCTTATCTACCCTCCTAATTCTTTTATTAGGAACCTACCTCGTGCCATATTCATATCCATCCCATTGGTGACATTTGTGTATACGTTCACCAACATTGCATATTTCACTGCCATGTCACCCCAAGAGCTCTTGTCCTCCAACGCTGTGGCGGTAGTAAGTAAACCATTCCCTGGATGTCTAAAATACACTTTGATTTCAGTTCTGTGCTTTGCAGTGTATTTCAGTTTCTCTGCCTTCTGTTGCTTTAGACATTTGGTGAAAAGTTACTGGGCTATTTTTCCTGGGTTATGCCAGTCTCAGTGGCCCTATCTACATTTGGAGGAATAAATGGATACCTTTTTACCTCATCAAGGTTAGATGGAGTACAATTTTATGAACATTATCTAATTTGGGGAGGGGCTGTTTTAATTTGATTTGCTAAAGAAATGCTAGCTAGACATTTTGGATGTTATAGCATGGTGAGATCATTGTTGGGCACGTTGGATACATTCAGTTATGAACTGCTCTTTTTCAATCAGCAAATGTAATATTGAATCACAGAATCTCTTGCAAAACAATCCTTATGAGCTACTAAAAGCATCTGCAGATGTGAAATAACTTGCAGTAAGAGCCAAACCCGGCTTTAGTATGGAACCAAAGCAATTTTACATCAATAACGTTCCAGTAGCTACAAGCTAAAGTATGCTGGAAAAGGATTTGCAGGGCCGGTTCAGTTCCCAGTTACAGGCATCACTCCCGCAATGAAGAAGCTCCTTCCAGGCAAGATGCTTTGCGTGCACACTGATGATAGCAGGACCAGGATCTTCAAAGTCTATTTGTATTAATTGACCTTTCTGAACACCATTTAAAAGTTATAAATTTTTTTTTAGAGGAAACAATCCAACTCTGAAGTACCTTGGGAAAATTATTTATCTGAGCACTTCCACAATTATCATGAGATACAAGTTTGAATGCATGTAAAAGTGAAATCTTTAGGCATATGAAACCTTAACCAATGCCCTTTTGACGCTGGAAATAGTACCTGTGAGATTTTTGGTGCCTTAGCGACACATGGCTGATCATCTCACAGCTTCCCTGTTCATGGATAAGCAGGCAGTGCTGCTGGCAGATGGGGACTGGCAGACTTCAGTTCTCATCCTCAGAGATAATTGGGCAACTTAGATCAGGTGATTTCACAGGTGACATTAGCCATTAAAGGCCTCCTACGTGGAATGATTTAGATGAAACAACTTACACTAAGTTATTCACAAATCTCTAGTGGAAGTGAGAGCCACGCTATGGTCTCCTCACCTTCAAACCAGCAGCCAGAGAGCAGCTTCCTTCTACTCCAAAACCCATGAGAGCAGTTGAGATTAGAGACATTGTACAGCTAGATATTGAAAAAGCTGTTTTACGTGCAGTGGATTAGTGCTCCTATTCTCATTTGCAGGTTATGTTTCTCTGGTGCCCGAGAAGGCCACTTGCCAAGCTTGCTTGCCATGATCCATGTGAAATACTGCACACCCATCCCTGCCCTGCTCGTCTGTGTAAGTTCCGTTGTCCCTGCCCCATTGTTCATCCAAGAAGAGTAGAAAATGTTCTGAATGTTGGAAGGTTTTGGCTGGTTAGGGTGCTGTTTTCCTGCAGGAAGATCTTTTTCTTTTTCTTAGACATTGTGAATTTCCACGACATTAATGACTGATGGAAGTTGTCATTTGAAACAAATACCCAGTTTTAGCAAGAATAGAGTTTATGAATATGTGATGAACAGAATACAAGATGTTTTGTGGCAAAGAAGATATTAAAAAGCAAAATGACCCTCGGTGCTGCAGTCGCTGAATGCACAGCCCAAGCAGGGGAATTCTCCCAAGGGCATCTGCTCAAAAAGTTGGCTGCATCAAAGCCAACTGCAGATTTGCCACTAATTTCAAAACAATGAGGATTTGATGCAAGATGCACTAAGATGCACGTTTGCATGACTCTCCTGGCTCTAACAGCAATTCTGGCACAATACACCCAGACATAATTTCATCAGATAAGCCGTCTGCACATTCCACTTTCTGGACAAAATACCTGCACAACTGAGGCTTATGGCATTCCCAGGGCCCAGTGCCTGACCACAAATATCTCGTTCACTGCCTGTACAGGATCTGGGGGCAAACCCCACAGCCCATCTGTTCTGCCTTGAGCAAACAGAAGGTGCTGGCTCCATCCCAGCCTCACGCCAGGCAGCTGAACTCTGCTGATGCTGACAAAGCAGAACTTCTTTGTCCTTAGAAATACATCAGCTCAACCAGCATACTGAGTTTCTGTGCTGTTTCAGTGTGAAATAGCCATACCACAAGTAGGCTGCCTGCACCGAGCAGGCCTGATAAATCAGGCATATGTCAGCCTCTCTCTCAGTCTGCTCCAAACATTTCCCTTAAATTACAGTGCAAATTACAGAACCAACACTGCATATCAATTCATCATTTGAAGGTACTTCAATGCAGCTCAGAGTACATCAAATGCTGCAATGAAATATTAATTCCTTAACAAATAGAAATGTAAAAATAACGTAGTGTAGGCAGCTACAATAGCAAATGAAGTCAGACCTCAGGCAATCCTAATTAATACATCAGGTTCTCTTTTCTTTTTCAGTGAATTTCACCTGGTTTTTTCATGCAGAAAGCTTTCTTTGTACACAGAGAAAGACCTTTTTAGCATCATCAGTGAGAGCTGTATTTTTACTAATCCTTCCAAAAATGAAGGGTCCAAGCTAAATGCAAAATAAACAGACTGGGTTTTTTGCAAGACAGTGAAGTGACAGGCTCTCCTGCCCACTGTGTGTCAGGCTGCCGTCAGGCATAGTAATCAGGGGAGGAAACACACACTCCTCTACAGCCCAGTACCACTCAGAAATTACACCATTTGGCAAGCAGCTCTGACACACTCATGTCACCTACACAAGAAACATCATCGCCCCAAGCGCCTTCAATGCAAAACCTGTTAGTGGCAGATGTGTGTCTGCCAGCATGCACCTTCCAGAGGAAAGTAGGAAACACGTTACGCCACACTGGTATAAAAACACTGCCCTATTTTAAATGAATTTTATAGCGAGACAGCTCAATATGCTGAAATCACCTCCAACTCCACATAGCTTTGAGGATTTTAACAGAGGAATGGAGAGTCCAAAGGGTCATTTGATTGTGATGGTGCGTAATTACTGCTACCAGTGGGTACAGAACTCCTCCCTCCCTAGAGACCTTCGCTATTAAAACGGCTAATTAAGGAAAAAGAAGACATAAGCAAAAAGAGCCTGAAGTAACATGCAGCCAAATCCTGAAAGCTCTCTAAAGGGATCCGGACATTGCATTTCCCCCAGGCTTTGGCCACCAGCAGACAATGTTTGCAGGGTGAATATGCAGTGCGAGGTGGGGTTCATGCCTGGGATACCAATGGGCAGGTGGGGCAGGATCTGAGAAGCAACACCATGAACCCTGAACAAGCTCTCCCAACTTCACAGTGTTATTCGGAAATAAAGTACAAACAAAAGTAGACATGTAAATTTCCACCTGTCCACCTGTCCATCTGTCCGCCAGTTTCTAACACGAGTAATGTTCAAGAGATTAATGATGTCAGTCATCTGCAGCATGAGCCGTGGGCCACTGGGAGGAAAGGGCAAAGCTTTTATTCTTTATAATACATACAGGACACCTGCAACAAGGTAAAGCACTGATCACAGACTATTAGCCTACAAGAAAACCCTCTTGTCTCATAATAGACAACTTTCTCTTTGCCAGAAGTCCTCATTGTAGGGTCCAAAAGGTTTTAAAACAGAATTTGGTGGAGTGCAGCCATTGAAAGCAGGTACAGAAGTGTCCAGCTCAGGCAGCACAGCAGGACAATAAGCAACAAGAGTTAAGCTTAGACTGCTTTTCGCTTTTTTGCTTGTTTTTATTGCTTTTAAGCTACCTTGTTAGTAATAATTCACATCAGATCACCTTTCTTTCTTTACAGTGTCTGGCCACTCTTATCATCATGCTTGTCGGAGACACGTACACACTAATCAACTATGTGTCATTTATTAACTACCTCTGCTATGGAGTGACAATTATAGGCCTGATCGTGTTACGCTGGAAGAAACCCAAAATCTTCAGACCTATTAAGGTGAAAATATTAAAGCTAAATCTCTTGGCTGCAATGCAAAAGGCATGGGAGGAACCAAAGAAAACCCTGTGTCCTCCAGTTGTTTTTTTTTTTCTTTTTGAAGATCAGTTCATTTTCAGATGTAATGCTGAAGTTTCAGTTTCAAACCATGCCCCAAAGCACCACTAGTGTAAAAACAGGATACAAAGGCTTCCAAAAACAAACTTGCTAGTTGGGCAACTGACAGTGGCAGAAGGAAGGGGACACAACCCATGAGGCTCTTGATGCCACAGCTCTTGTTGCTGGCCAGGCTGCCCTCACTCTGCAGTCATGCTCTGCTCTGCTCTCTCCCTCCAGGTGAACCTCCTCATTCCCATCACTTACCTGGCGTTTTGGGCATTTCTGCTGGTCTTCAGCCTATACTCCGAGCCAGTTGTCTGTGGAGTCGGACTCATTATCATTTTAACTGGAGTGCCCGTGTTTTTTCTTGGAGTCTACTGGAGAAATAAACCAAAGTGTGTAAATAGGCTAATAGGTAAGCACTGCTGATTGGTGCACTTTTCAGGCCCACTGCTCATGGCTTGCAGAGCTCAGTCCTCCCCAATGCCGAGACCCCAGCAAGCTCAACCACCGCTGGCATGCACAGCCTTCAGATCCCCCCACAAAGCAGGCCAGGTGCTGCTTATGGATGGAAATACTTCAGTTTTAAATTAGAAGGAATGGCGAGCCACCAGGCAGACAGGCACATTGCAGGTGAGCCCCGGACAGGAGGTAATAGATGTATTTTTGTGGCTGTTTGTGCAGGTAACTGCTTTCTTCATCACTTGCCATATTCACCTTCACTTGTGCCCCTGTGCGTGCCCCAGCTCACTCACCACAGCCTCAGCGACAAAGCAGATGCACAGGAGTATCACTTTAAGCACATAAAGACCAAACAAACCAAACAAAAAGAATAATAAATGACAGAACTCTGCCTGTCCCTCACCCTGCTCTCATCCCAGCAGCACTGCAGAACCCCTGTATGGCACAATGAATTATTTCTCACTCAAATAACAAGAAAGCCTTGCTTTTTCCCTCACATCACAGTGCACACACTGCTTGTGATTGGGCTGTGCTTGGCTTGCAGCTGTTCTGTGGTGAGGACTTTCCCTGAGCAGGCGCAGCTGCCTGCCCGGCTGCAGCCCGGCTCCCTCAGCCTCACTGCGACCACTGGGCACTGGCACGACCTCAGGGATGGCCCAGCGAGCCTCTGAGCAGCACAAAGGGCTCTTCGCAGTAAAGGGACATTCCTAAAGGCGCCTAATTTTAATCCACCTGCGTTTTGCAAACACCAATGGTCACCTCGCTAGAGATAAAAGCAGCCAAAGGGAAGGCGGGCGGTGCGGAGAGGCCAAGAGCTCTGCGGGGAAGATGGCCGCCGGGTCACGCACTGCGTCACACAGCGCTCGAGCGCCATGCCGAGCGCAGCCCGTGCTAACCGCACACTTGCTCCCTGCAGAGTCGGTGACGTGCTGGGGACAGAAGCTGTGTTTTGTGGTGTACCCCCAGGGTGGGGCGGCCGAGGAGCCTGCTGCCCACTGCCACCTGCCCGCCAGCGACAAGCCCCCGAGGAAATAGCGGAGCGGCCTCTGGGGCTTCTTGTTTACACGCCCATTTTTGCAAAAAGATTTTCTGGGATTTAAAAAAAAAAAAAAGCAAAAAAAAAAAAAGCCTTAGAGAATAGTGAGCTACACACTTTATGGCATCTGTAGCTTTTAGTTTTTCCCTAAGAAAAAAGAAAAAGAAAAAAAAAACAGAAATAAAATATGAAATAAGGCACTGGTTGTTTCTTTTTCGGCAGCACACTCGCTCGGCGGGGGAACGCAGCACAGCTACAGCTCTGAGATACTGATTCTAGCAGCCATAAGGGCCTGTTTGAGACTGAGAGACTGGGGCATGTGAAAGCATTACTAAAGCTCCCCATCACAAAACCAAAATGGAGAAAGCCAGGGGAGAGGAGATGGGGGCAACCCTGCTGCCGCCCCAGCATAAGTACAGCCCAAAGGATCATTTCTCCATAGGACAGCTGGTGGGCACCCACACAGCCAGGAGCAGGGGAAGCATGTGGGACAGGAACAAGCCGTGTTATTGTACAAAGGAAGTCGGCTTGAGCATTCAGACATCATTTGGTGTGATAAGGCCTCAAGCATCTTCATTTTTGAAACATTTTTGCTTGGGCTCCTGCACAACAGGGAGATCTCAAAAGAGCCAGGAAGAAAACCCAGCGCTACTCTTTACTATGAGTCAGATGACACTCTTCATTTTAATGGTGCTCAGAGAAGCAGCAAGTCTACATCATTTTCACATCAGATGCTCTTTAGAAAGTGTTTTGCATATTTTATTTGCAGCAAACACTAAGAAAAAAAAAATCTGGTTCATACATTCAATAAATTCATAGAAATCTGCTGCTGTAGCAATATGGCCACTTTCACACCAAAGAATCTTTTGAAAATGCAAAATGCAGGACTAGCTCTAAGCAACATTTTGAATAGCTCCTGTTCTTTTGTAACTTTTGAAAAATAAAAGCTATCACATTCAGTTGCCTTGGTAACAGCCACAGGAATTTAATTCTTAAAGCAGCTCTGTGTTAGTGGCCTTGGTAGAAAAATTAGGGGTTCATTAATCTCTTAGTTTGTCAGGTACCACACATTGTACAAAGATTGAAGAATAGACTCAAAATATGGGGTAAGTTCAAGGAAAGTGACTTTCCAATACAATGCATTTTTATCTTTAAATATCTGTCCATGAATGTCCAAGCCTACAGATGGTAAACTGAAAAGAAACACAGTTTACATTCTCCTTCTATAAAGCTATTAATTGTAAGACGTGAAAACGTATATTTAGTTAAAGAAAAACGTGGCTTTGCGTGTACATATACACACACATCTCAGGTACCAATAGAAACGTATGAAACCTGTAACTGCTACCCAGGCAATCAAAGACTAAATTAAAGAAGCCACTACTTCTTTAATTGCTAACTAGTTTGGGCTCAAATTTTACCTGACTGTATTTCAATGCTCTAAAACAATAAACATTTGCCCTTAGATCAGAAGGCTGAATTTAAAACAGGAGGGTTGGGTAGAGCTTATCTTTGAATTACATATCAGTCTCCAAAAGCTGTTTCAAGATGTCTCATTTCATTTTTAGAAACAGTTTCATCCGTGCTCCCAACATCGTGTATGTTATTTTTTTAAGGCTTTGCAAAAGTTACTTCCTAGCGCACGCTATTTCAAGCCATAGAAATCAACATACGGAGCTTGGAAGACAAGTTCATACGCTGACTGAAATTTAGCAGTGTGCTTAACTTCGTTCAGGTATGACTTTTTTCAAAAAATGAAACAAAAATCCCACAGAAGATGTAACTGCTATTACTTCTAAGCCCACTGAACAAAAGCAAAATCCCAAGACAGCCGACACTACAAATATGTCAAGAACGTTGCATGATTCAAGGCAGAAAAGACAGCTTTTTCCAAAAGAAAAGTTTTGTAATTTTGAAGTGTTTGCTGTAGTGATACAACTCTTGCTGATTTTCGTTTCCTGCAGCATTTTGATGTCCCCTTTATTGATATGTAAATCATGATAACCTGTGTGTTAGCTTTTCTGAAGGAGAAACTCCCAAAGAAAACAGAGCAAAGAACATCTCCACCTGAGCTGCAACAAGTGCACCTTCTCCAGGTCATTTTCTGCAACTTTCAGACAATTTTACAGTCATCTCTGTACAAAACAAATTGGCACCACCCTAGCTGAATTACACTAATAGCACAGCAGTGTTAAAATGAGTTTAAAGCTTTAAAAAATCAATTTCTACACAAACCTGTATTTTACATACTATTGTATTTATGTAGCAGCACACATACACAAAGTATGAGAGGCTATAATGCAGAAGAATACTCTGCTGTTCATTCTTTTAGTGCTGGCAATACCATTTGGCAAATTTTACAGTAGTAATAGAGGTAATGCAAATACTTTGAGCTCTAAGCATCACCTTCAAGTTAGCTTTTGAGACTGAAGCTAGTAGGAGCTGTGTTGGATTGTTCTTATTGCATTATCACCATACGATTATCGCAGATCACATTGTCATTGTGCCACGCAGTGCACACAACAGTGGGAAAACAGTCTGTCTCCCAAGAAGGATGGCATCCCATAGGCAACAGGAGCTGTGGGGCACAGGCAGGAGAACACAGGACTAATGAGGCTGAGCTGCACGGCACAGCTGCTCCTGCAGGCTCCATTGCTCTCCAATGTTTTCATGACCTCGGTATGGGAATTGGCTGTTTCCACATGACACCGGTACATCAGGCAAAAGACCTTGATCTCAGCAAGGTCAAGACAGAACACTCATATCAGTTCAGAGCTTTTACCCAACTCAGCAAGGATCCATGAGTCACTGTGTATTTAATATTCCACACACAAGCATATTAATTGGAAGTAATTTTATAAATACGTATTGAAAGATACACAAGCAATCTTTCATCAGCCGAGCTCAGTGATTTGCTGTCCCACACAATTTTCAGAGGTCTTCAGGAAAGATTTTCTCGTCTTTCATTCTCTAATCTGCAAATTCTGGGAACAAAATACATTTTCTTTTTGGCTCTTTTGGGAGCCAAATGAATGACAAGACAAAAATTACTGAGCTTCTGAAGTATGCATCATAAATGAAAGCTTCATTTAATTAAAACAAAAAAAACAAAAAAACCCAACAGGGTAAAGCCTTGCTTGGAATTTGTCTTTTCCTAAATCTGAGTTCCAACTGCTTTGGCTCCTCGCTTGGGAGCAGGCCTGTGTGTGGAGCAGGGACTGTGTCCTGTTCTAAAAGCAAAGCATCTTTTGTTTAATTTTAAAACTTCTCATTCCTCAACACTTCTCACTGTTGCTCTTACTATGCAAGAAGCTTCCGCATTTGGACAAATGAAAAAGGAAAATCCAAGGAAAAGGATTTGAAAGCAGGCAAGGGACACTGTTTTTATTAGAGATCAAAAATAAATGTCTTATAAACCTGGGATAAGAGATAGGAACTGAAAGGAAGGAAACTTGGCACACCAAAGCAGGAAATGTATGAAGTGCAAAAAAAGGGAAACTTCCACCACTCAATCCAGCTAACACTATTTGATCCCTGAAGACAAGAACACAAGAGCCAGAATCTGAAATGAGAAGGGTGGCTTATTTAACAATTTGCTATGTTAACAGACTAACAAGAGACATGAGATGAGGCATGCTACCTGGAAAGTTTGGGTCATGGACAGAGAGGCTGCATCTAAATCCTGCTGCCTGCTTGGGAGATGAAAAGACACTTCCTGTTCTTAAATAAGCAAAAGCAATTCTTCTCTCAAAAATCTGTTAAAAGAAATACATAAATTACTTAAGACTTTTCAAGCTAGCTCCTTGATTTGTCACAAGATACATCTGTTGTGCTACACAGGCTTTCAGCAAACACTGCTGCAAGTGCACAGGTATCGTTTATTACCCTGTCTGCCTTTTATGGGCTCTATTCATTTCAGCCACGTTTACATCAGTATTAGGGTTGTAGTATTACTGCTTGTGTCACTGCTATTGAAGCTGAATTAGCACTTCATGGTGAAGGAAAGCAATCACCCTTCCTATGAGGTGAGGCACTGTCAGCCCTCTATATCAAGCTGTGCCCTTCTATCCTTCATGGTTATGGATGAGTCCTGATGACCATGAAGTCTGTACAATTCTCTATTACACAGATAAATACTTCCAAGTTTGTAGAGCAAACTTCTGCCAACACAAAAGAACTCAGCTTATGCCTTCTACTAAAAAAAACAACCACAGCAGAATAGAGCCAATGACATAAACAAAAGACATAAACACTGGAGAGAGGAAGCATGAGCGAAACAAATACAGCCCCAGCAATTGGCAGTGAGGTGCTATGTTTCAGGAACAGGGTTTTTTGTCTGTTTTTTTTCTCTGCAACAGAGTCATAAAGAATCATGTACTCCACAGCTATGTTTTGTTATTTGGGGTATATGTATGCATCTTTTAAAGACATCTGTACACAACAGGAAATTGCTACTGGTAAGATTTCACGTGTACTTTCCAAAAAAAGTGACACACATCTACAGCTTCAGATACCAGCAAGAAGCATACAGCCAAAAAAAAGAACTACACACCAACTTCAGATCTTCACACCAAAGGCTCATAACTGACTCAACATATGGAGTCAGCAATGGGCAGTGCTAACAGATTGGCACTCTCAAGTGACAGTCAGAAATCCACAGTCTCTGGACACATTAAATTTTATTAAAAATTAAGAGATTGAAGCAAGAGCAAAGTATGATGATGCCCAGCATCTTACTTGTATTGTATCATTGTCCAGGAACCAGCAAACACAGGTAACCACGATGCCATACCTGAACCATACATCTGTACATACACATTATGGTAAAATGTATTTCAGTGAATATATACAACACACACATACCAAAAAAAGAAAAGAAAAGAAAAAAAAAAGGCAGAGAACAGAAAACAAGTACATTTAAGGGATGTTACAGAGTCATACACAAGCTGGAAAGTGTTGCAATTTCAAATAGAAACACAGCCCATGTTTTAGTAGTAATAAGAGAGTAAGAGAACACTTTAGTCGTGATGCTGCCGGTGAGAGGTTCTTCCTAGATCAGGAAAAGGCTTAAATATTCCTCTCCATTCAGAGTTATTTTTAGGAAACTATTTTTTAGGGAGATTGGACAGTGGAGTTTTGTAGGGTTTTTTGGTGTTGTTTCTTTTTTTAAAACTTTTTCCCTTCTATGAAAATACTTAACGCAGAAAAGCATTCTTAAAATATTTTTTTAAAAGATAAATTCACTAGCTCATTAGGTTACGTAGTCATTGAAGTGCAATCATAATTTTCCACTGAGCAAAGAATGAAATTTTCTGTTCACACTTCTGGCATAGTAGCAGTTTTCCACCTTTTTTTTTAGTTAGTTCTGAA